AGTCAGTGTGCTAAAATTTCTTCATTTTCCTTGTTAAGAATCAGAGGTGCTAGTTTCAAATCCTTTTTAGTCTGAAATCTGTATGCTAGATATTGAGTAAGGTGGTTTTATTGTTTTTTGTCACTTTGAATAATATTTCTGTTCATGTTAAAAACAAAATCAACTCTCTGCATAAATATATCAGGTGACCGTTAAGGCCCATGGGCCTCTTGTTTCAATTTGCTTTACATATATCGAGACATACTTAATTATGCCTTGAAAATATTTGATCTTGAACAAATGGATGTAATACTGAGATATGTTTTGAAGTTCACTTACCAACATTTTCAGGATCAAGACAGGTTGAATTACATAGCAAAATGTAGGTACAGTTGTCATTATAACTGTAAACTTACGTATCTCTTCATGTTTGTTTACCTTGTACCATATTTTAAATGCATGTAAAACATTTATCAGTATTATAATTTCCCATACCGAGACGTACCTACGAACGTCTGTAAGATATGTGATTTTAAGTACATACATGTAATGTTGAGATTCATTTTTTTGTATAGTTACAACTGTCTTTAAATTCAAAACTAGTACATTTAGTTAGTACAGAATTGTGGATACAAGCACGGATTTAGATAATCTAATTCCGTGATACAAGTATGTACAAACTACATGTAGTAATAGTTTGTACTCCTTCCCATACACATACATGTACATGTATATATCTATTTCATCTACTTATTCCTCCTGCACTCACTTATTTGATAATTACATGCATTATTCCTGCAAACCGAAAGAGGCGACTAAGTGTGGACCCCCCTGCTGTGACTGTTAAATGCACTGCAGCATTGAGAGGCGACTAATGTGGGCAGTCCGTAGGATGTTCCACGTTTTTGATATCTCGTCCCTTCTTTCTGGTGCTTATCTCTCGTTGACTCACTTTGTGATATTGCATCTTGCGCAAGAATAGGTCCTGTACATATATTTAGTAGGTAAAGAGTTTTCTAGAGGGATTCTTCTCCGATTTTGGTTATGTGTTATATACGTCTCTGGTTTATCATTAGTATCGTCATTTTCAGTTTCCAAGCGTTAATTTTTGTGTAACTCGTTGTCATTCTCATTAGTCCACAAAACGATAAACAGTTCAATACGATGTATGACCAAATAACAGGTTAGACGTGGTAGCGGATCGGAGTCGACTGCTGGTACCCCTTGCCTTTTGCGTATTACCGGCGGTCGTGATCGGTGGGCCTGAGTTAACATTTTTGGCCCGTGTTTAGCTCTTCACTTGGGGTTGGTGGGGTCCGGCCTTGTCTTGACTTTTGTCCAGGCGCTTTTTGTTGGGTACCGAGGACGGTGTCGCGACCTTGTTGTATTTACCCGTTACAACGCGTCTGTTTCCTGTGGACACTTTGATTTGACGACGCTCTTTATGTGCATCACTGTCAGGGATGAGCGCGTCTTCTAGCTGCTGGTTCGAAAGCTTATCCAAAAAACTTCGACAAAAACTTCAAATTACCCAGAATAAAGTGGTCAGATTTATTCTGAAACTTAACAACAGATCAAGAGTCACCCACCGGGAATTGGAACAAGCTAATATGTTGGATGTTGGGGGCAGGGTGAAACAGCTCCGTTTTAACCATGTCTTTAATATTCAACATAACAAATGTCCATCCTATATGGAAGAATATTTTACTAGAACAGAGAAAAAACACTTTACCAGGAACAGTGATCTGAATTTCATCATTCCTTTTAAGGTGTGGAATCGTCATCATTGTTCTATAATGCTATCAAAGATTGGAATAACTTGCCACATTCAATAAAATCTGTAGATCACAAGATGAAATTCAATAGCGAGATAAAAAAAAAAAGTACTTACAAGATTTGGCAAAAACTGATTTTGAGCAAGAATTCATCTTCTTAAGGTTATTTTTATTCTATCCTTGTGGGCGACTCTAAACTTCTTCTAATAAATATATGTATTACCTAAATTTTAACTAAAGTACTACTTTGCAATGTTTTAATTTCCAATCTCATTCAAATGAGGCTGGAATTTTGTTCCAGGTATCCTATTTTTGGTGACTACAAATTCATATGTACTTTTTAATAGTGAATTACGGAAGATTTTATCACCATCATCCTCAGTCTTTATTTTAGTAATAAGTCATTTTTATATATGTATTATACCCCAAATTGTTTTAATTTGATAGACAGATAATAGGTTGGTAGGGATTGGCCCAACCACCTGTTGTCTGTTCTACACACAGGTAACACCATATAAATGTATATGGCCTAACACCATCTTATATTGTTACAAAATATCTGCAAGAATGACATCATCTTGCATTGTGATATGTACAGTAATGTTATTTTAATATTACAAGAGGAAATAACAGCCTGCACAGCCCCACATATATATATATATATATTATTAGAGGGCAATCTTATTTTCTAATGATACGTAAAACACAACTCCATCTTATTCTGTCAAATAATCTAACATCTTATTTTGATGAAATAATATACCATCATCATATTTGACCAATTAGTACAACTTATTCTATTCATATATATATTATTACGAGAAATTATACCATCTTATATTGTCAAATTCTTAGGACCTTTTGTTGTCTAAGTTATTAAGATCTTTACGAGAGGACCCCATTGGAAATAAGCTGCCACCCAGCTTTCATGGGATATCCTAGGTTAAAGCTTAGTCATCATGCAGATACATTGTATTTATAGTGCTCCAATTTGTGATATTAACATTGATGTGATAATCTAAATACTGTGATAAATCTGTGATTATCAGCAATTGAAATCTGTGATCATATGTGATATTTATACCTGTATCATGCTTTTACCGAATAAATATTATTATTATTGTCATTATTAGTGTTTTGAGGGAGCGGGCCGTTGTCGGAGCTGTGATCAATGTCGAAGTCGTCTTCACGTGCGTTTTCGTTGGTGTTTACCTCGTCACGGTCATCGGCATTTCCAGTCATTTGTACATTAACGAAATGTGTGGCCATCTTGGAGACATTTCGAACAAGTCGAGTTGTCTGAAACTACCTGTCCATAACAGGATACCCTGGCTTTGTATCTGCCAGTTTGTACAAATTTTCGGATGTGATTTGTAAGCGTGTGTGAAAGAATCAATAAAGTTGTCAACTTAAAAACTGCCAGTAACCTGAATTCAGATCTATTTGAATCTCACCTAATTGATACCCCTGCCTGCTTATGTAGTTCTCCTGGTGAGGATTGTGATCACTTCTTCCATTGTACTCTGTATACTAATCAAAGGCAAATTCTCCTTAACTCCATTTCTACTCTTAATGACATTATTCCATTAAATACTCAGACTTTTCCTTATGGATGTCGAAGACTCGATATCAATATGAATATAAGTATCTTCGAGATGGTTCGGAGATTCGTTAAAGATACAAGACGCTTTTACTAGATTGCACTTACTTGTTTATCTTTTTTCACATGACTTTGCTGTATGGAATGATACCAGTACATAAATGTACTATGTGCTGTCCACCAGCATAATTTTAATTGCCATTTTTTGTAAAATCTAGTTTTTGTATAACCACTATGAAAAAATAAAATAAAAAATGACATGCAAATATCAATATTCATGGACATAATACACATGTTTTATCATTACTTCAATTCAATATGATGTGCTCATAGGCTTTGCCTGTTGCCCAATTCCTTTGTATCTAATATCTGAACAATAAATATTGTGAAATAAGAAAGAGAAAAACAATCAATAAAGTTTATATCATCCGTTTCACAGTTCGTGAGTTTTCCGTTGATACGGAGCTTCTCCCGGGTGATAGTATATATACCTACCGTCTCAAGACCTTTCAAAATATATGTCCGTCGTCCGCTGACAGAGTAATTGAGAATCATGACCCTGGGGTCTCACGTTTCCAAAAGTTTATTTGTGAAATATATGGTCCCAATTGCAAGCCCTTTGGAACCCGAGGGGCGGGGCATATTGACTAACTTTTCAAAAATATTCTTATCCAGATATGGTAGAATCAAATACTTTTCATAGATGGAAGTGTCTTAAGATGCTTAACCATAATTCAGCTGACTGACAGAACCACTATTTGTACATAGTACATATACTACCTAGATCTTTCACGCTGCTTTTGCATTACATGTAGTTCAAGTTAACTTTGTTACAAAATGATTTCTTATTCATTTGGCAACATCGATAACATCAGTTTTTACATAACCCAGGTGACCGTTAAGGCCCATGGGCCTCTTGATTGGCTGAGCCCAACCGCCTCGTACCCACAAACCTTCCTCATAGGAAAACAAAACACGAGTCATGTTGACGATTGTGTAACCGACGAGTTCAAAATACAGGGCACATATATAACCGGTTGTGCTCCCTCGTGCGTGGTATATTTTTCAAACGGCCATTCTGATAGTAAAGATCACTTTGAATGATAGTACAGGACAGTTGCTGACCTAAGGCGACTTCACAAAGCCCGACCAGTGATGAATCCAGACCATATTGATTAGGAATGTGTGAAAGCACGGGCGTAGATAATCTAATTCCGTGGTGAAAGCTAGTGTCTAGCTGTTTATCATAAATACATATTGTTCATGGTGATTGCAAGGACTAGAACCTGGCCCCTGTGATTTTCGTCACAACGAAGGTATCATAATATACTTCTGGACCAGACCCTAATACTCCAGTTGGGTGACAAAGGTCTGGGTGGGGTCCTTCTATAAATATAGGGGCGAGGGGTCTTACCTGTAATGTTGACGTTTTGCCCGAGAGTAACCGACAGTTCGTTCATCACATTTCTGACCGAGGTGTTGTTTGGAGAATATAAAATCCCGTTTGCGTCTATATACTTGTGTTGTGTATAATCGTCCAATTGGAAACCATCCCACCTGAAGGGTTGGGTGTGGTCGACACTGGTCACCAGGAACCGCAGCATCAGTAACAACAAGGAAAAGGCGACTGGCAACGCCACCTCGAAAACTGTAGCACAGTAATTGCGACGAGACACCGTGAAATTCTTCCATACTAACAAGAGGAATTGTCCGGCAGCCCCCATAGTTACGATCGCTGTAATGGTCCACACACGATTGTACACTTGTTATTATACTAATGTATAGTAGGTCTTCCCTGAACTATATTTAGAACAGAAAAAGCTGGTATATATAAAGCACACCCATTGGCTGCAAGAGATCGGTCATCCACACATGATCTTCAGAATCGATTTATGCAGAGTACATACTGTATATGTATTACGAAATCGATAAATTGTCTGGTGTGGTATTATCTAGTCATGACGTATAAATGTAGCGGGCATTATTGTTAGCCAAAGTCATTCCAAGGAATTATCACATTCCAATACCTCGTGAGTTCAAGGAAGCGTGACGGAGACGGGTGTCCCAGATTTGTTCACCTGTGCTGGCTGGTGCGCAGTCATGCGACTATTTGTAAAATTCCTTACGGCTGTACATATATAACATTGTTGTATCGGCAAGCCAATTAAGGCTAGCGACGTTTGTAATTTAGCGTCAAACATAACAGCAGCTGCCGCCTACAACAGTAACGAAACTTGTGCACGGAAAATGTTTAATGCATCGCTCGAACGTATTGATTGATTGATTGATAGGTTTTACGTCCGCTTCACTACCGAGTGGTTCGGTTATCCAGCAGACTAAGAACAGAAAGGAAAATGAGTAGAAGGGATAAAGTATGGAGTAGAGGAGGGGTGATAGGTTAGAGAAGGGGCCGTCTATCCTATATATATTAACTGTATAAGTCTAGTTTTTGTAAGACGGCTCCTATGCCTAATAATGCCTTAACCTAACACTCATTGTACAGCATCACCAAGTCAGGACCGGAAGTGAGGTACTGTGCCGCCTCCAGCCACACCAGCCCCTGCCTATTCTATGAATTTGGCTTGTATATAAAATTTGGAAGTCCATCTAATGTTTTAATAAAGAGACCCTATTTCTAACAGCCTAAACTTTTGGATAAAGTTTTCACTATTCTCTGTGTCGGCGTTTACGCGCCTACTCTTTTTCGAAAAACACAGAGGGATTTTTTTTTCCGTTCGAGATTGGACCGTTCTCACACGGGTCACCATTTATAGTCCCGGACATCCAACGGACTGTATATTAGTGGTTAGTGTCATGCATGTGCTGTTTTTTTTGTTGTCCGTTCCATGTACTCCTCATCATTCGTCACTGAGAATAGACCTGACTATACTTGTACCAATGTATTCTTTCTTATAAACACCTCTACTTCTCTTTCACTTATTTCTGCTCATCGTTCCGACATTTATGAATTTTAGTGAATAGTGTGATTATTAGTATGGGTAAAGATGGAAAACGGGGATGGAGGGGGGATTAGTGTTATAGTTGGGTTATAACCTGGATGGGGACTGGATAGGTTGGGGGTTGAAAGATGTGCTGGGTGTCAAAGAGATGTGCAGAAGGATTTACGGGCTTTATTAAATGCTAGTAGTATGGACCGGAGTGGTGTTGGGGATGGTTTGTGGGAGGGGGAGGGGTTGGTTGGTTGTGTGAGGATATTTAGTGGTTGTTGTGTTTACTTTTGCGTGTATTTAATCATATACACACATATATAGTATTTTATTCAATTAGACATAAGATTGCTGTGGGGTGGAAGACTCGTCCTTTTTTTTTAATACGGAACATCCCGCACGTGGTTAGAACACAAACGTTGCAGCTTTCCTACATCAACCGGAAGTGGCTTGTTTTTATGTTTATTAATAATTATGAAATATTTTTAGTTTAGAATAATTAATTTAGTTTGTTTATTATTTTGGTTGATTGGATATTGTTGTTACTACACTATTCGCTGTGTTAGATAAACAGATATTGATTATTAGTTCATTGTTCGTTTATCCCGTTATTCCTACCTAACTAATAGGTCCATATAGCACCATTGGCCTCCCTCCTTTACCTGCGCTAACCTTGTAGCGTACGTAGATACTACTTTATTTAAATAGGGACGAATCCTGAGGCTATGAATATCACTAAGACAGTAACGTAAAGCCAACGTGTAGTTGTTAGATCTAAGTTCGTGCCTAAATTTAGATATTCGCTGCTTGAAATCTTTAATATGTACATATTGTATTCTTATACTTTGCGTTAATTGCGCAGTTCTGTGTTGTACAGTAGAGAGGCTAAAGCATACAATCACTCTAAAGCAAAAGGTACTCGGACTGGCGAGGACAGTACAGTAAATTAGACTGGATCAGATCAACCATTTCCACTGTTCTTTCAGTCCTGAGTATCATGGTACTACTGTTCCTATTTGGATTAACGAGTTTTCACTGTTAAGTCCGGTTTAGCTAGGTTCCAGTGTTCATGTTCGGATTAACGAGTTTTCACTGTTTTAGTCCGGTTTAGCGAGGTTCCAGTGTTCGGATTAACGAGGTTTCACTGTTTAGTCCGGTTTAGCGAGGTTCCAGTGTTCCTGTTCGGATTATCGGGGTTTCAATGTTTAGTCCGGTTTAGCGAAGTTAAACAACTTCAAAAATATAAAGTCCTGTTCTGATTAAAGAGGTTTCACTGTTTTAGGCCGGATTAGCAAGGTTCTACGGTTCCTGTTCGGATTGACAAGAATTCACTGTTTAGGTCGGTGTAGTGAGGTTCCGATGTTCCAAGCATTCGGTATCTTATACATACACAGAGTTTGTATATGTACATTTGCGTGTGTTTTTTGTTTTGTTTTTTGGCTATGGACTTTTAAAATGAGAAATATACATGAACTAATATTGGATCATAAAAATATGAAATAATGTCAAGAACATCATTAACCAGTGTGCAAAAAAAAAGTACACTTAAAATAGAAGATTGATGAACATATTTATAAAGCTAAGCATTCTTTATGCTTATTTGGTTGTTCAAGGGAAGTGAGTCTTGTGCAATAATTAAAGGAACTTCTTATAAAGTCTTTTCCCTAACACCCAACGAAAATACATTCTATCCTGTATTACACAACATTTCATAAATACACGTCACACCCTTTGTGCTAAAGATAATCAAGTGCAATGACTCACACGACCACGCCTTTCAGAATAAATGTGGTAAGTCTAGTAAAGAGACTGGCGCTTTATAGTGTCATGGCATAATTCAACGATGAAAGATGTGCGGATTTCGGCATTATATAATCTGTTTTTGTATCTATGACAGATTATCATGTCGAGCTTAAGTGTTTGTAATTTACGTCTGTTCACATTTCTACAGTGTATCGTTAATAATAATTTTAGCAGTTTCCTAGAGAGAAGATAGAAAACTTAACATATTAACAATGAGCTAGTACGGAAATGTGTTTTCTGATACCTCAGCAAAGTGTTAAGTTAAATATCACATCCCACAAGTACGGTCAAGTGACAACGTCTTTGTGTAAATATTTACATCGTCATTGCACTTTTATGTGTAGTTGTCAGGAATTCGAAAACAAAAATATGTCGCATTAATTCGTCATTAATTCTACATTGCGTAATATAAGGGAAGTTGTAATCAACGTAAAGTATTGACTTATCAATACTTAAGGTAAACGGTACCACTTTCGAGTGATTATTTCAACTCCTCCAAGATCTGGCTTAGAGTTACTTCCCTTGGCTCATTCATTTTTTTGTTTCCAAATGCTACGATTTCAAACAGCTAAAATTCACTAAAACTCACAAGAAATGTTAATTTTATGAAATTACATCTTTTGAAAATTACAAATTATTCATACTAGTGCCAATATGTATTAATTTACTAATGAATCCCTAACGCTACTCATTCTTTTATGAATTACTACCACCGTTCCCTCTCTCACGAAAAGTAGCCAACTTTTCCTTCTCTCATTAATAGTATTCAACTTTCCCTCTCTCACGAAAACAACCAACTTTTCCCTCTCTCTAATGAATAGAAACTAATCTTTCGCTCTCTCACGAATAGTTACCAACTTTTCCCTCTCACGGATAGTAACCAATTTTTCTCTCTCTAACCAACTTTTCCCTCCCACAAATAGTATCCAACTTTTCCCTCTCTCACGAAGAATAATCCATTTTTCCCTCTCTTACAAATAGTAACCAACTTTTACCTCCTCACGAATAGAAACCAACTTGTCCCTCTCTCACAAATAGGAACCAGCTTTCCCTCTCATTAATGATATCCAACTTTTCCCTCTCTCACGAAAACAACCAACTTTTCCCTCTCACAAATAGTATCCAACTTTTCCATATCTCATGATAGTAACCAACTTTTCCCTCTCTCACAAATAGTATCCAACTTTTCCATATCTCATGATAGTAACCAACTTTTCCCTCTTTCACGAATACTAACCAACTTTTCCCTCTCTGACAAATAGTAACCCAACTTTTCCCTCTCTCACGAATAGTAACCCAACGGTTCTCTCTCTCACGAAGAGTAACCATGTTTTGCCTCTCCCGAATTTTTCTCTTGTTTTTCCTCTCTCACGAATCGTTACCTTGTGTTCCCTTTCTCACGAATCAGTACAATGCATCCGTTGACTCTATCACGATTTGTTATCATATATTTCCGCTCTCACAAATAATATCTATCCATTTCCGGTCTCACGAATAGTAAACATCTGTCTCACGAATCGCTTGTGTTGACTCTCTCACGAGTAGTTACTGGTTGTTTCGTCTTTCAAGAATAAAAAAAAAATAAAAAAAAACCCTGCTCTTCCCTCTCTCACGAATCGTTTCCTTCGTATCCTCTCTCGAGTAGCATTACCACCTCTACTCTCCTCACGAATACTTATCATATGTTACTTATCTGGAGCGTCCTCATAAACGATCACCTCCCTCCTCCTTATAAACCATAACCTCCCTCCCCTTCGCGTTCGTCAGAACTGTCACAATAACTTTCTCTCCTCAGCATCGTTTCCTTCAATCTCACGTTTCCATCTTTGAGACATTTTCAGATTATTATGAACTGCTGCCACAGGACATTAAGTTGTGCGTGCTTCAGGTCTCAGCTTATTGTAACGCAACGCAGTTTTAGCATTTTTTTTTTTATTAATTGCCATATTGCTACATTTTACGGTTACTGCTCCGCCTTTTTAACACTTTTCGAATTGATCTTAATTTTGTTGACATTTATTCATAAACAATAAACCCTGATCACCTGACAAGAAAGACTCAAATGTAACGCCACGTAACTTAACCATGTGTCAACACAAAGGATGCGTACAAAGTAACCGCGATAAAAAAAAAGCACCTTGGACTCTGATGTCACAACAACTACAAGAATGAAATAGCACATTTGGTAAAAGACGCATTTTGAAATTTTTAATAAATACGTGAAGTTTGGAAAGAGAATGTA